ACTTGCCAAAAGGCCGAGCTAAGTTAAGTAGCATTCCTTAAAGAAAGGTCGCGGAAGCCAAGAAACCACGGGCTGATTGAAAAAACCTGGGAAGACAAATCTGAGGGAGAAAAATGAGGTGAGGTTTCTTGAAAATTTGCAGCCCAAGCGAAAGTGCATGAATGTGTTATGGTGGAGCTTTTTGGCACATAAGTATCATATTTTCTTGGGTTACTGGATACTTGTTCAGACTGCAAAGTTTATAAGCCATACCAAGGTCAGGCTTTACAATTTGCAGTTGCAACTTTCCAGCTACAGCAAACTGTAGTTTCCAAGCATTTGTTTGTTGCCAAGCTACAGAAATAAAGTTAGTGTGAAAAAATGAAAAATCTGCTTTAGTGTGAAAAAATGAAAATATCTGCTTTGCCTTGATTAGAATTCTATAAAAACCTACATAATTGTGTTGAGCACTGCTGACTCAAGTTGGTCGATGACGTTATGAACCCGCGTCGTATCCACCACAGCGCTGTCGAATTTTAGATCTGGAAATCTTATAATTTATTGCATTTTTTAAATGGTTATGAGAAACTTCAGGTCAAAAAAGAAACACAGATTCGTATTTTGGAAGAGAGTGAAACCGGCTAAATTCAATGTTCAGTATGAATGTATTAGTTTTATAAAAAATTGCTCCAAATTAGCGGAACCAAGAAAGCTAAATGGAGAAGACAGTATCATGAACCTACATATCGTCTACAATGCACTATATCGAAAAACTTTTAGATTTTTCTACAAGGGGGAAGAGGAGTATCTTACCTTTCACACTTTGGACCAACTGCAAACTCGGCAGAATGACCTGGTTCGTCTTAAATTGCGGGTATTTAAAGAGGTCTCGCATGGATTCGGAAACCATCTCAAGTGCAGCATGTACGCTTACGCACATCGATTCACCGTCTAAAAATATATATGGAAAAATTCACTTGAAATGTGTCACAATTAGTAAATTCCATGCTCGTCTTAGTTTATCTCAAAAAATTCGTTTTGAAAACGCTCTTCTTTGCGTTGCATGCATTGGAAGCTAAATAGAAACATGAATGTTCTTCCCCTCAGAAATTTTCAGATCTGCAAAATAGGGATTCTTCGAACGCTTCTGTCACTCTAAAACAGGCGGCCCTGCGCGCTTATCCGCTTGGCAGCTTCGCGATTGGTCAGCTAGTGAATTTACCAATCATGAAGCGGTTGAGTGGCTTACCGGGTAGGTTTGTAGCCTGCGTTAGAATACGGTACTCGTTATTACGGTAACCACAACGTTTGAGATATAAACATCACTGTATGTGTTTTTCGAAACATATACAAAAAATGCATTAGCCTTAAACGGCTCAAAAACTGAGCAGGTTTGCTTTCAGAGTTTTGAAAGAAAAAACTTGTACAGAAAATCCACTTTTAATATTTTTATTTACTATGTAT